CAGTCTACCATTACTTTCTAACACTTTTTCATACCTTCCTGCTACCAACATCCTTAATGAATCAATTCTGCTGAAAGAAAATTTACTGTCACTTGTCTTAGACTGCCTCTACTTTTTATCCTCAAATGAATTATTAAGTCTGCACAGCGTTTAATGCAATGCAAGATATTCAGGAGGTGGTATAATAAAATTTCCAATCCTACAGGTCTACAGATTTTATATTCAGTAGAGGTTTTCAGAGTATTTAGCTTAAAATTACCTCCTCTGTTTTTCCAGAATCCCTTTACCTTGTCCACAATAATTTAAAAGTACTGATCTATCTACAGGCCTTGCATTCTACTGCTGGCATTTTGTATACTCCACATTCATTCTCGGAAATAACATCGAGCAGTTTAATCCACTTACTTGCTTAACAGACTTTAAAAACTGTAACAGAGGAGGTTTTTTTCCTTCAGAGCAGAAAAAAAGCTGACTTGCTATCATAATGCACCCTCTATTCTCTGTAATTTACATCAGCATTTCTTTATTCGTATTATTATATTACTTAAACAAGTACAGCCATTATGCTTTAGCCCCTTAGTATGAAGCTGAATCATTTTTCTATCAGTTCAGCTTCCACTTGCTCTCTAAAGAGAAGTGGCCTGGTCTTTCTAACCTGTTTGTCCATTTCATCATTCCAGAACCTCCTGTGCAGATATTTCAGCCACTCAGAATATTTCATGAAGTGTGTAATTCCTTTAATGTCTTATTTTTCTTGATTTGCTCACAGCCTACTAGGCTCGCTCACTATTCCCTTTGGCCTTCAGAAGTATTTAAACAAATAAAATAAATTTAGCTATTTGCTGCTGCTCTTTTATTACTCTTGTGTTTCAAATTATCATTAAAGCCCCTAGCCCTAAACCACATTTTTTTTTAATCTACTGTATGCTATTTTGGAAAAACTTGCTTTCAGTTTTTCAGGGAGGCATCGTTTTACATCCATTAACCTCTTGCCATAAAGGTTACATTTTAAGAACTTGTTTATTTGCCTTTAAGGGTGCACTTTTCTTTGTGTTCTTAAAGATAGAAGTCAAGCTCCCTCAAGAACTTGTAAAACACTTCAGAAGAAAAAATTCACAACCCTGTGGAGGGACAAACAGAAAGATTTTAAAGCAAGCCTGCAGAAACAGGACCATAAAAGAAAATGTAGCATTCTATTAACATTAGCTTATTCAACAGAAGGGGAGAAAATAAAAAAAAAAGAAAGGAGCACTGTATAGAAACACTAAAGCTGAAACAGGACTATCAAATAACCTGCTTAAATAAACACTTACACTTAGAAGTTTCTATAAAGAGCCTTTCAGAAACTGCTACAACTGACTGTAGGACTTTTTAGTTCTCATGGTGACTTGGGCCAGTGCTGCGGCCATGGGCAGTATGCCTTTCCCTTTCCAAATGCGCTGAACTGGGACTTCTCCAGGGCCCAGCACTCAGCTGAATATACAGGACCACATGAGCATGCCAGCTCTGAAATCATCAACACGCAGAACTTAATATCAGAAAAAATCAACACATGGCACACTGACAGCAAAAGGTGAATACCCTGGTACAGCATCAGAATGAGATGGGATGTAACAAAGACTGTTTTGAAGCTAGGGGGCAGACAGGGGATTCCAAGCCCCCAAAAGTCACATCTCTCAGAAATGAAGCATCGCTGAGTATGTTTGAAAGACTGTGAAAGGAAAATCCATGCTGAGAAAAACCTCATGTGTCATCTTAAGTTACTGTGCCTCAAGCTACAATTCATTTCCTCTGTGCCTGTGGGTAGGTCTAAAGGGTAATTAAAAGGTGTAACCACAGTTCAAGTAGAAACTTCAAAACTTGTTTTGAATGAGCTAGCTCACATGTCAATGCAAGTGGTAACACCGAAAGGAGAACACAATGAAGTTACAATAAAAACAAGGCTAAATATACAAAAGGTCAGCTTGATACAACTTATTAATTTACACAGTGCTTCATTAACTATTCTACTCTAACTACTAATTGCCAGAGGAACGTACAAAATAGCTTTAAAATAAAGAGCTTCTAAGGATAAAGTTGCAATCCCATTTCGTGAGAGCACATAGACATATCCCAACTTTGTTAAGTCTTTCATTAACATCAAGCAGTCAGAACAGAAAATACACCAGCAAACAAAAAATCCAGAGGAACAGCAGCTTGAATAAAGGATAAAGGGACCACTAAACACCACCATTCAGCATCATTTGGGAATTTTGCAGAAACAGCAGCCCGGTATTTTCACAGCTCATGACGTATCTTTTCAGCTTGGAGTTTCATTTTCATGAAACGCCCTCAAGAGGCAAAGCTTAAAATCATTGTTACATGGACCGCGCTACAGGCAGCATAGATTTAGAGACTATGAATGGGACGAGTTTCTGTTGCATATCAAGTCTCTGGAAAAGGACAACTGGAAACGGCTACCAAGCACAAACCTTTCATTGTATGCAGGCAGTCAAAGAAATAACGCTGTGAAACAATGAGAGGCCACGGGGTGATATTTGCAGGGAGATGGCAGAACTTTTTTAAGATAAACCAACACCACTAGGGAAAAAAATGTCAAAAGGCAAAAGCTTGGAAGATCCGGGAGAAAGTTTCCCTTCCCCTCCACAGAATCAATTAGGTTGGAAAGACCTCTCATATCACCGAGTACAACTATGACCCAACACCACCATGTCAAACAGACCATGACACTGAGTACCACGTCCAATCTTTCCTCTAACACCTCCAGGGATGGTGACTCCACCATCTGCTTGAGCAGCCCATTCCAATTTAAGCACGCTTCTCGTGAAGAAATTCCCCCTAATGTCCAAGCTAAACCTCCCGTGGCTCAGCTTACGGCGATATCCTCTTCTTCAGCTGACACTCTGTCCCTGCTCGCATCCCGTCCCGCCGTGGGAGCAGCAGCACCAGGTCAGCCCGTCCCGCGGCACGGAGTTGCCCGACTCCGCGCAGGCAACCACGGTGACTTCCAGAGCCAGCGCGCGGCCCCACCATCGGCACAAGCCAAGAGAGTCCCTCCAGCCACGAGGAGCCTCTCCCCGGGCTGGGCAGGGCAGAACGGGTCCGTCTCTCCCCAGTTCCCCCAGGAGGCGCGGGTCCGGTCTCGGTCCTGATCCCGGCCCGCACGCGCGCGCCGCTCCCGCCGCGCCGGTCCCGGCCCCGCCCCGCGCGCGGCCCCCGCGCGCCTGTTGCGCGCGCGCGCGCACGGGCTGAGGGTTCGCGAAAGGGCTCCCGCCGCGCGCGGCACCCCCGGTCCGGGCCTCCCCTCCCCCGCTTCACAACCCGAGCCGCCGGCAGCCGATCCCCGCCCGGTCCCTCCTCCCGCGGGGACGCGGCCCCGCGCACCGCCTGACTGCCGTCACCCTCGCTCCGCCGGCGCCGAGGTAAAGGGGCTCCCCCCCGGCCCCCGTACCTGCTGCCGGCCCGGCGCGGCACCGCGCTGTCTCTTCTCGGGCCCGAGGCGCGCGAGCGCCGCTCCCTCCCTGCCTCCCTCCTTCCCTCCCTGCCTGCCCGGCGCTGGCTGGCGGCGACACTGCGCACGCGCGCGGCTCATCGCGGCGCCCTCTGGGAGGGAGAGCCCTTCCGGCGAGACCGGCCGGCGGCGGCGGCGCCCTCCTCAGGACGGCGCGGCCCCGAAGGAAAAACTACGAGTCCCAGCAAGCAGCGCGCACCCCCGCGCGGGCGCTCTTCTCCACGTGCCACGGGGCACGCCGGGAGTTGTAGTGCGACGGGTGGCGGCGCCGCACCCGGGAGGTTTTCGGGAGCGGAGAGGAAATGCCGCGTCCTTTGCCGGCCTGAGAGGCGGTGGCAGAAGGCCAGGAGAGTCGCGTGCCGGGGCACGGAGGCGGTGGTGGCGATGGCGCAGTAGCCGCCAATGTCACGGCGGTGTTAGGCCCCAGTACGCCGCCCGCCAGCGCGGCCGCCAGGGAGTTCCGTGCCGGGAAGCGCTGAAAGGGGCAGGGATACTCCCGGGGCTGTTATGGGCCAGGATAGCGAAGGCGTCTGATATTTCCACTTTAATTAATGCAGCTGCCGTAGCGGTGGCATCGGTGTCACCGCAGACCGCGTCACTGCGGGTGCGGCAAGCAGCAGAGCCATTTCCCTGTGCCAAGGGCCGTGCCACGGGCCATGCCGCGGCAGCCACGAACACAGCGGCGGCCGCGGGGCGGAATGTCACCACGAAAAGCCACCACACCTGCTGGTCAGCCAGGGTGTATGATGCGACAGACACGTACATTAGACTGTGTGGCACAAGCGGGCCAGAACACCCACAGAGGAGTACTGGGTGATGGTGGCAGGAGGGAGAGCCCAAGCAGTGCCCGCCAGGCCTCTTCCAGGCCCATCCCAGGAGCCATCAACCACTAAAAGCCCATTTCGAGGGGCACAGGGGCACAACGGCAGGTGGGAATCCAAAATAAGGACTCAGAGAAAGGAACGCCCTGTCCAGCCCCATCCCAGGGGAGCCTCAGCCCCAGAGCACCTTTGGGACTGGGGGTGTAGCTGTGTTCAGGGGTGTGGCACACAGGATGGGATGCAGGGAAAGAGCATTTGGGGATTACACAGGACTCATTAGGGAGTGATTAGGGCAGGAACCAGGGGTGATCTAGGGGACATAGAGAAACAAATATAGCATACAGGAATAAAAAGGGGCAGTCACGTGTAAATGGTTTGTTATGGTTTGTCCATATTCTTCACCTGATCAGTGCAGCTCGTCCTGTCTTCTCATTAAACTCCTTTTGCACTTTGCCCTGGGTGAGAAACTTGTGGCCAGAGCACCACAGGGAGTTGGCTACTGGAGGGCTGAAGAGGTTGGGATTGAGGGGCAGCTACTGGGCACTGCCTGAGCCCAGCTGCTGGAAGGAGACACACTGTACCCGTGTGTAAATACTTCTGTAAATACACAGATATACACAGATGCTCCTCCATCTAATGCACCTCCATCCTGCTCAGCTGGAGCAGGGTGTGGGATGAGGCTGCCAGTGCTCTGTGGGAGTGCTCTGTGTGGCTGGATGTGTAATCCGTGTCCATGTGTATTTGATTAATTGGTGCATGTGTGAATTTGTGCATGTGCCTATTGGGAATACAAATTCCGTCTGGCTATTGCTTGCTTGGACGTGTGCATGGGGCTGCAGTAGCCTCACCTCTCTCAGGCTACCAGATCTCAGACAATTTTGCCACATCGACAGATACATATATTTGTGTACATATATACATTGGTATATTTCGTAGGGCTTCATATAGAAGCACATCATTTCCACCCATTGAATTGAGATAAGATAAAGCAGACAGGCAACAGCTTACTTCCAAAGCATTTGCACCAAAAAAATTAAAAAATAAGTAACATTTCTGCTTTTCTTTCAGGGATTTCACGTTTCTTGCACCCTACGTAAGCACATCTGTAATGCAGCAGGAGGTCTGGTTACAGTATTGGTTGGCACTCCTGATGTACCTTGAATCAAATTAGCACAGTTATGGGTGGCAGCAGAGATCTTCAGGTTCCCCTGGTTTTCATAAAAGTCTGGTTTCAGGTGCAGTTGAGCTAATGCAATGTAGGTACAAGGATGAATTCCTGTTTCCTGTCTCTCTGCTCTTCTGCTCCCTTCTCCCCACCAAGTACATATTTTCAGGCATGGTGAACTATGTTCATTCTGCATATCTTGTGATAACCTGCCCTTAATATCCACCACAGATGACACCTTTTTGGATCACATTCATCACCTGCAGGCAAAGATTTGCAAAACTTGGGACCTTGTGTGGGGTGAGGCTGTGAGGCAGTGTACCAGAGAGAGAGAGAGAGGCAGGTCCAGGCTGTCTGGGTCTGTGTGGTCACCGACCAAGGCATGGAAACAGCAAAAAAAGCACCACCTGAGTTTCAACTGTCTGAAAACAGATATCTGAGACCAGACTGACATCAGGTGCTGGTAAAATTAGGACAGAAGGTAGCTTCATTTCTGACAACTTCTGAAGCCCTGAGTGTTTTTGTAATATGAGTTAATTCAGTTGGAGGGAATTTACTCCTCAACCAATACACCATTTTGAGAAGAATTTTTCTTCGTTCAAAAGTGAAGCACACCCTCAGCATGTTTTTAAACACAGCCTGAAAAGATGACAACAACATTGAAGGTTGACGAATGACCCTGAGCTGGGGGAGGAAGAGTGGAAGTGGACAGAGTAAACAGATCAGCCATCACACTGTAATCGGGTAAATTTGAGTTCATGCATAATACCCCTCGCTCTTGTTTTCCCCAGTGCAATGAGATGCCAGAAAATGGTATCACGATAATACAGCCCTTTCTAAAAAAGGCCATGGAGCCAGACTGCTGACCATATTTAGCTCTACTAAATTGCGATTGGCACCAGCAAGCCTTGGTTGTCACCCACTGACATTTTGTTCAGCCCTAAAAATGAAAACAGTTGCCTGCACTGTTTCAAGCCATGAGAGTCACTGGGGACCCACAGATAGGGAAGAGAAAGATAAGGTAAAGTAACATGTTCATCATGATTTAGGATCTCAAAGCCACCCCAGCCAAAAGGGTTATTCTGTGTTTCTGAGGCAGTGAGAGGTGTCAGCAAACGGCAGCAGGGTCATGAGGGATGTCTGCAGCCAGATGGGGTGAGCACCCACCAGGGAGAAGCAGTGCCTGGCCCATCTGCACCCCTGAACCTCACTGACGTGGACGACCTGTCCATACTCATCATCAGTATGAAGTGGTCACCATGGAAGTCGCCATGAAATGCTTTAATGGGTCCATGCCTGCAGTAAAACATGACTGCTTTCCTTTGCTCCTCTGCTTCCCCAGGTTTGACTGAGGTGCTGGGAGCTGTACCCTCAGGCTTACTCTTGGAGGCTGGTGGGACCTTTTCATTGTGCAGTGGAGGGATTGAAGCTTGGGAGTCTCCTGGGGATCCCCAGGAGTAGGGCAGGCACGTTTGCCCAGCTGCTCAAGTCTGGGCCATTCCCACTCTCCTTATGTCCACCTCACCTGCAGAGATCAAAAAATCACCATTGCTGTCTGTGCCAGTTGCTGTGTCCAGTGACAATGGGAACTGGGTGACAATTCCAACTGCAGAAACCACAAACTGGTGTGGGCACTAAGGCGAGTTAAGTTGTAAAGGGCAAACTTCCATCAGAGAGCAACAGGGAGCTGATAGAGGGCTGGGGAAGGGGTTTGATCTTTTCCTCTTATGAAGAGGGCATGGAGTAGTATTGGTTCTGCCTCTCCACTTGTCTGCGAAGTATCACTCCAGGAGTGACAGGGTTAACAAATACATGGGAAGAGACAGCTCTGTAAGCTGAGCTACATGGTCACATGCACAGGTTTTATTTTTAACATCCCAAAACTACTTGATGTTTCTGTCTGGGCTTGCTCCGTGTCCTTCTGTTCTCTTCTCTTTCTTTACTTGCAGCTCTCCCTCAGCCACCTCACTTCAGCCCAGCTGAGCACAACCAGGAGAGAAGTGTTTGGTACATGCACAGGGACTCTATGATCAAGGTAAGGCTTTGTAAATAGAGTTGGAGTCTTTTTTGGACAAACCTTGATGCAATGTAATGGTTACTGTAGCAAGCTATGAAAATCAAAACATCTTCAAAACAGCTTCAGTAATTAAGATGAAATAGAATAGTCATGAGATGTCTTAAATGACACTCTAAAACAGATGTAGCTGGTACCTGTGAGCACTTCTGTGACATACTACTCTAAAAAAAGAACCCTCCATAGTATATTCAGTGAATTAGCTGTAGTTTGCAGCACTGTATGCAGGATTTTAAAAAACTAGCATGCTAATTGTAAGACGGGAACTTCAGCAGCAGATCAGATGACAAATAAAAATTCAATTTCTGTTATTTTCAGGAAACTCAGAGAAGACAAGGAGATACAGTAAGAGTCAGAGGAGAGGCAAGAGCAATCTCATGGCAAAAGTGCTTATACTTAAATGAGTTTTGTAGATTGAGACTGCAAACTCTATGTTGGCAATCTAGATTGAATGAATGATGAAGTAAGAATTACAAGAGTTAAGGCTACTACTGCACCATTTAGTCTTGTGACTGCTCAGTAATTTTTATTAATTAATCTCTTTTATTTTTATTGTATGACTTAGATCTTAACCAATTGCTCTGAGATTCTTTACACTGGGCACCTTTCAGAAAAGTATGTTAATGAGATTGTTACCAGAGCATAAAATAGAACCTGAGCCCACAGAGAAAAAAAACATAGTTTGGACCATTACCCTCCTCCTTTTTTTTTCCTTAAACTGTGATGAAACTGGACCTATTATTTCAAAGCACTTTTTGAACTCAAACCAAGATCAAACCCGTTTCCTAGTTACCAATGCAAAGTGAAAGTTTGTTTGACTGTGTCTAGCAAGGATAGCCCAGGGACCCCTGACATGTCCGAGGAGCAGCAGAGCAGCTCTGTGTCACAGCCTGCTGATCTGCCTGTCTCTCACAGGACTCCCCAACATGCCCAGCACAAGATGCTGATGCTAAGCTATCCTGCACAATGCCACCAGCCCAGGGGAGCATTTCAGCACCTGGAATTTTTGGGTGGGCTTCTCTCAGATGAGCTGTGGCTACATTGCACCAGGTAGAGAGGAGCAAAAAACATTGCTGATCCAGGTCTTTTAGTGGGTAGTGCAGTGCAGGGTTCCCACCAGCAGTGCCCTGTGTTACCTGGGCCTCACTACTCTGAAGTCTCCCTGCTCCTCCTGTAACAGCTTTAGTGCATTTCACCAGACAGAAATCGCACAAGCAAATTTTGGTGCCACTTCACTGCCTGTGTGCAGCACAAATTTTCCAGGCAAGGGGGAGGCCTGGCAGTGGAACAGCTTCTCTTGATCTCCATGGTCCTGTGTGTCAGGTGAAGAGAAGCTGATGTCCTGTTCTGACAACCTGAGCAACAGGCATGCTCCAGAAGAAAGACAAGGAGCATGGATTGCCCAACTGATGCACTATACTGTGGATTTATTTTTTTAAGTATAAAGCAATTCCAATCTGTTCAGTAACTCTGAAATAGTGGTTATTGCCATGAAACACCACAGCCTCATCCAGATGATCCACAGATAAGAAATATAGGCAGTAGCTCCTTAACTGTCACAGCTTCATCCTTCCATTGTTTGGTTTATCCAAGTCAGTTGTTTCACAAGAAAATCTTCTTCCTCCTCATGTCTTATACTAAGGATTTGAAGTTCACCAGTATTGCTGTGGAATCAAAGTGCCCCTGTAAAATCCACGTGAACTTGTTCAAGGTCCCCTCAAAAATAGGTCTTGTTTCTACTCACTATTAGTGTTATTGAGGAAGATTTCATCTACACCTTTAATTCTCTCTTTCCACCTGCCCTGAGCCATACCATACTCACTGCCTGCCTCATTTAAAGTTTAGCTGTCAACTTGTATATACAAGGTCAGTCTAAATGGCAACTGCAGAGCAGGAGTGCTATGAAGGACAGTGACCCACTGTGCTGAGTGCCAAGAGGGTCACTCAAGCTGTAGCTGTCCCTGCTGTGGATGTTGAGGTGTGTAGTTTGACTTGTTTAGAGGTCCCTGTGATTCCAGGTGGTGGCATTCTTGGATTTGCTTTTTATTTTGTGTCTAAGGAGAGGACTTAAGAGCTCCTGGGATTCATGTACAAATGCAGTACCGTATGGTTTCCAATGGCTTAGTGATTTTCTCCTCACGTCTAAGAAATAAAAATATCTGTTTAGCAAAAGGAGGCCCAAGCTTGATTTCTTGACAAAGATGTTAAGCAAGTAGTGATTGAGGAAATTCAGTGCATGAAAGGAAAGGAAAATCACTAGTTGAAGAAGACTTACTTACTTAGTGCTCTAGAAAATGTGATTGTACAGGTGGCTCTGCCAGGACTTTTGTGCAGGAGGCATGCAACTGCAAGTGAAACATAAGAACCTGAGCATCTCTATGCTTGGCATTTTTGCTTGGCATTTACATATTTGTATAAAATATCATATTTAATCTTATCTATTTTTGTCTTTCTATACTTTAATTCTACATCTGCCAAATAGAAGCAATAGTATTTTTCAACCTTAAGTGCTCCTCTAGTACTGCAAAGATAGTAAATATATTGACATGAAAATTCTTATTTTGTAAGAAAATTAATAACTATATTCCCCTCAAGATTTCAGTATGATAAAGATGAGATAAATATTATATACTAGGTAACAAGGGTTAAAAGAAATAGAGAACATTGCCTATCTGCCCTATACACTTCACCAAAAGTATTCACATTCCTTCTGTTGTAACATTATATATAACTTCAGCATTCTTGGCTCCAGCGCTTGGATGTGAACTTTCACAAGATTTTTTTAGGAGCTTGTTATCATGTTGTAAAATTTAGAAATACTGTGTTATGTTCATTTGCAATCTCATATCAGAGGCACTCTTTAGGGTCATTATTTGCGTTTCTGGTGGCCCTCTTTGATGTCTCTTCAAACTGGGAGGCATCCCTTGATTCTGTGCGAAGAGTTCAGGTACAGTGTATGACCTTAGTATGTCAAATGGTCAGTCACATGCCAAATGAGAAAGCATTTGTATTATTTTGGCTTATTGACTGTAAATTAATTAAATATATGTCTCCTGAAAATAAATTTTAATTGGTTTATAAACTGTAAGTTATTGTCACTGAACAGGTCCACTTCAGACACAGACATAGCTGCTGTTAAAATAGCAGCTGTATATTTTTAAACCTTACTTGATTTGTTGTCATGATGGTCTAAAAATAAAGATTTACCAAAGTGCACAGACTGTGGACTGTAATGTGCATTCTTTCTTTACACAGTAGCTTGAACATGATTGAAGTAATCATTTCTGGGGTTTTTTTGTTGTTGTTGTTTCTAACCCAAACCTTAAGAAGTTTTACAAGTTGCAGGGAATCAAGAAGTGTATGAGTTAAGAGAAATGCTTTGTCACCTGACTTATCTGTGTGTCACCTGCCTCTGGATGTTATGTGTCAAACCTACTGAGGCAAAATTTGTAAACTTTCTGATGAGTGTTTTGAGTTTGTAGTTTGTGTACGTGCAGTAATAACATCAACTAAACCACAGGGCCAACTAAATTATCGATTAAAATACAGAGCTCCTGATTACTGGCATGTCAGAATAGAAGAAGCATTCAAACCTGATAAATATCAGAAAGAAACTCTCTATCCATTCTGCCTGTCCTCTATGTTCACAGATTTGACAATGAGAAGAGAGGAATAGATATCTTTTGTCTGAAAAGAACAGCATATACAAGTTAGAGATGAGGTAAACTAAACTAAAAAATGCCTGAATAACGAGGAAGACTGATTCTGCATCTGAATGCTACGATATGATCACTTTTCATAAACAAAACGTATTTTCTTTCTCTACACATGATTTGGATGGGATTTATTTCAGCACCAATGTGAAAGCAGGCTGCAGGCTTCTCTCCTGAAACTTTGCCATCAGTCCTTTCTGTGTTTTGGAGAACAAGGCCTACCCCTCAAATGTAGGGGTTTTTTAATCAACTATTTCTCCCCAAGAGTTACTTTTGCAGTGGAAAGTATTGTTCACACAGTCGTGTTTTTATTGCAGTGTAATGTACCCAGCCTTCCTCTGACCTTATGCAAGTCATGGCTGGGACTATTTTTAGAGATTATATTTGCAGCAAAATGCTACAAGAATGAAAGCAGCAAGGATACTGCCAATGTGAAATAAATCCATCTGTATCTCCTTCTTCTCTGAGTGGCATAAAAGATGTAACTAAACAGCCTAAAGCAGGACAGTGCCACCCCAAAACACATGTATTTGAAGGCTTGTTGTGGCTAAGGCCACCCTGGTCAGCACCCTGGCGTCACCTCTGTGCAGAAGCCAGTGCTTCCCAAGGCCAGGCAGGGATGTTATAATGGGAAGTCACAAAGTTTTATTTTCTGCATTGCTGTCTTGAGCTCTTTCCCTGCAAAGGTGAAGGTACCTGAGCCTTAGACTTGAGAGTGTAAGTTTGTCTCTGAGTAAAGGGACCACCAAGGGTATCTTCCTTTACTCTGCAGGGCCGAGAGGGAATGGGGTTGATTCATTAGGAGGTGTAAGCAGGTATTGATCACCATTGGAAATTGCAAAAGATGGAACAAATGTGCAATTAATGCACATCAAATTTTCAAATGTGAGTGTTGGTATTTAGTGCAGGAACTCACAAGTATTGCCTGTCCCAGACGTCTTTGCTTCTCCGATGTTGTTCATGACTTCCACTGCCAGGATGTAAAGGTGTGAAAGACATGAAGTGAAGAGAACACCTTCAAGAAAGAGAAAGGAAGCTCTTCACATAGAATCTCTTCCCCCAGAGCCTGAGCCCTCTTCCTCTGCAGCACACCTCTCCCCAGGGCCAGGTCACTTAACCCTAGGTTTGCAAAAGAAAACACATCTAAGGTAAACACTACTGTGTTTTCTTTAACCCTGGAAAAATAAAACAAAGTCTAAATTATTTTACTAGCAATGTCTGTCTTTTCTCAGACCCAGCTGAGAGCCTATTTAGCCTATGATAGTTCCTACTGCATGAAATGTATAGGGGAAAGATTTGTCAATTTTTTTTTCCTATTATCACATAAAAAAGAAAAGCAGCCTGAGTCCTGTTTGAAAACAAAATTCGAGTTCCTCCTTATCATTAGCTCTTTTTTTTTCCACAAAGATTCACAGTGATTCCAGAACCAGGCTGGAATGCAGCTCCAATAGTAAGGAGCAGGAAGTCAAAAACTGGGAGGTTTCTACTTGCAGCAGGTCTTTTATGGTCCAAGTTACTGATACCAGTTGAAGGTATCCAGGGAAGTAGCTCCAAGTCGTGACTGAGCAGCCTCTAGTTCTGTAGGTGACTGTATGGAGCTGGCAGTCCCTTTCTCACAGCCTCATTGCCACTGGAAGTGCATGTGAGCACTTCATGTGTGGAAAACAAGTATGGGCATGGAGGGTCTGTGGCCATCCTCATTCCTTCGGACAATAACTCTTGTCTTCTTGTCTTTGCCACACACAGCACCGGGCCCAGAAAGCTCCCCCTGGGCAGCACAGGCACTGTGAGCAATGTTTCAGCCGGCACTGCCGTGCACCCATTGAGGTCTCCGTGTCCTGTATGGTGATCAGCTGCCACCTCCACTGCGGGGCGACCTTCCACATGTGCAAGGAGGAGGAGCACAGATTACTCTGCCCCTTGGAGCAGGTGTCCTGCCTCAACTCAGCCTATGGCTGCCCTTTCACCATGGCCCGCTTTAAGCTGGGGAAGCACCTCCAGGTCTGTCCAGCCAGTGTTGTCTGCTGCTCGATGGAGTGGAACCGCTGGCCAAATGTGGATTCAGACACAACTCTGCACAAGAATGTTATGAAAGAGACCTTGAATGAAGAATGTCTGGACACAGCTTTGGCACTCAGAGACCAGAAGATACTTTTCAGGACTTTGAAAATAGCTGAATTATTTCCAGAGTGGAGGAAAAAGGATGAATTGGAAGAACTAATGGATCAAGCCATGGGTGGGGAAGCAGGTGCTGTGGGAGGAGCTACCTGTGATTCCCAAGAGAGCAATGACCAGTCTGAGCTCAGCCAGCGTGAGCGGGAAGATTTGGCAAAGGACAAAGAGGGAATGGATCTGGGGAGTTACAAAACCTGGGAAAATATTTTCAGCAAAGAGCTTCTGGCTTGCAAGGTAACAGGCTCAGCAACTAGCACTGGACAAAAGACGGAGGAGGCTTCCAAGAAAACAGCATCAGCCTCTCATGCTGCCAGCTCCACAGGGAAGGCTAAGGAAGGACCTGATGGTGCAGAAGAGGGAAAGAGCCAAAAGCCTGAACAAGTTCAACCGAGTAAAGTACTGAATGGACTGGCTCCCTGGCAAGAAGGCGTCCTGGAGAGGCTGAAGAAGGAAGTCAGTGTAGCTGATTACAACATGTATCTGGTACATCACGGAGGAATGCTCATCCGCTTTGGCCAGATGGCTGCTTGCACTCCTAGAGAAAAAGACTTTGTCTATGGGAACTTGGAAGCCCAGGAGGTGAAAACTGTCTATACCTTCAAAGTGCCAGTTAGTTACTGTGGCAAAAGAGCACGACTAGGAGATGCACTGGGCCACAAGATGCCAACTTCAGACAAGTCAGTGGATACCTCAGAACTGGGAATAAATGTCGAAGAACTACCTAAGACAAACATAGTTGAAGCCACACTACTGTGTGCTCTGGAAAAAGAGCTGAAAGGCCATGAGATCTCCGAAGCAAGAGGTATCGATGGACTCTTCGTGGATTTTGCAACACAGACGTATAACTTTCCTTTGGAGCCCTTCTCCTCCAGAGCAGTTCTAGCAGATGTTCTGGATGAAAACAGCCCACCAGAGCTGCACATGGAGCTCTACACTGAATGTGTAACCAGAAGACACAACAAAAGCAGTTCAGCTTTCACATTCACTTGCAGCCATTTCTTTAGGAGGGATGAGTTCCCATCCCACTTCAAGAATGTGCACGCTGATATCCAGTCATGCCTGGACGGATGGTTCCAGCATCGCTGCCCACTGGCCTACTTGGGATGTCCTTTTGTCCAAAATCACTTCCGCCCTGAGGGACTTAAGGCCAAGGTTATTTACAGCAAGCCTCTCAAGACATTTGCTATTAAGCCAGAGGTGGACACCCTTCTTGCTGAACCGGGCAAGTGCTATTCCACAGTGGATAGTCGAGGGAGAAACAAGGACTTGCTGAGTAGCCTCCCAGTGGAAGTGCTCAAGTATATTGCAGGATTCCTGGACAGCTTCAGTTTATCTCAGCTATCACAAGTGTCAGTGCTCATGAGGGACATCTGTGCCACTCTTCTTCAAGAGAGGGGAATGGTCCTGCTGGTCTGGGAGAAAAAAAGATATTCCCATGGTGGTACTTCTTGGAGAGCTCGCAAAAAGGCAAGTGACTGTGACACTGGGGAAAAGAGTCATGAGTTCTTTTCAGATAAAACATGGGAATGACAAGAAAATCTGCATATAAACGTGCAAATGAGGGGAAGGTTCATGGGGTTGTGAAATTGTACAGGGGTTTGTTGTCAGGGGCCGGGGCTGTAGAGTGCAGTACATCTGGCAAAAGAATGAAGGTGTAACTAGACATTTCTGACTAGCTGAAAGTCCCTGCCCAAGCTCATTTTAGGTAACCCTTTTGCATGTGCACCATTTCTAGTCATTGAGGACTAAGAATTCCTGATATTTAAGTATCACCATCCCCATTGAAAATGGCAGGTGATAAGTAAAGCAGCAAAAACAGCAAGTATGAGGTACATAACAATACAGATCCCATTTTTGCTTGCTGTGCCAGCCCTGCGCCAGAGTAAGTAATGCATACCCACTGTAACATAGGCAGGTATTTAAAATCCTCGTTTCCTCTCCCCAATTCCTGTCCCCTCTCTTGCATTAGATCTGGCAGTTCAGCAGCCTGTTCTCCAGAGTTCACAACTGGCAGCGCAGCGATGTCCCGAGCATGTCAGAGCACCTGAGGAATTGTCCCTTCTACCAGGCAGAACGCAGGATGGACCCTGTGCTGCTGACGGGCATGAGCGAATCTCGGGAGCAGATTCGAAAGACTTTGGTCTCTACTTTCAAGCACAGAGTCTGAACAACTTGCTTCCCTTCTGCCATGCTTCCACTAGGCATCTTGAGATGAAGATTTGGGGATTCAGTTGTAAAGATTGTTGCTTCCAACTCTCCTTGGGACATACAAAATTGGCTTCTCCCCAGCTGCATTCGAAACCTCTATATTTTTTTTCCTGCATTAATTTGTTGAAACTTCAACCACTGCTTACTAATATCACATGCTTTCCGTTTATGTTTCTGTTTCTGGTTTAATACAGCATCTTGAAGAAAGCAATGAGGATCTTATTTGAAAACAGCATTTTTGCCTCCTTGAAGGTAGGCTGCTGCTCCTGTACCATGTGCCTGAGGGAAGCAAGAGCAGTAATGTACTTAGCTCAAATAGAGCTGAAACACCTTAGTTTTGTCTGGAAAGTCAAGTTCTTGGAGCACAAGTATATGCCCTCCTGCTTGGCAGACGTAGGGACTGCTAACCTGCTCTGCAACATGGGCAAAGGAAAAGGACAACCCAAAATTATGTGAATTAATTAAAACTCCAATGAGAACTTGGAAATTTGCAGCCACAGACCATTATTTAGGACCCTAAGTGTGTGACTAAGGCAGGCACATTTAGTTGAATGCAAGCCTAAAGCTGAGCTCATGGGAGCATTCAAATCAAACTAAAGCAAACAAACTTACTTTTCATTAGAAGTAATCAAGTAGCAAACAATTTTAGAGATTCGATTGACTTTTTATATGTTAAGGTAACAACTTTCTGTGTTTTACCTGAAAATTCATTAAAGCTATGAAAGAATATTTGAAGTAATTTTTAAAATGCCTTACCAACTCAGTTTTGCAGTTGTAAATTGCAAATTCTAATTGTAAGCCACCAAAAACAGAATTTCAAAGAAATAATATTATTTTCCATAACAGAAAAGTAATTCAGTAACCCATTCAGTAACAGAATGGATAATGTTTGCTTCAGCTAAATGGGCTGGAGCATAGGATCTTTTATTACAGAGCATAAAAGTGATTAGGAATTGCTTTATCTTTTAATAAATACACTAATTTAAACCAGAACATGCTTGCTGAGACAAGAGATGAGAGAAAACAGGCATGTTACCAGCAGTGTCTGTCTCATTACACTATTTGAACCCCTTTCAGTGGTGCTAGTCAGAAATGCCATGGATGTGATGGTGGGTGAGGTTCCTCTGAAATAGCCATAAATTTATTTGTCAGCTTAGGACAGTTTCTAGCCACTGCACAGCCAAAGGGTGCTGACTCACCCCCTTTCCTTTTTTAAGCTCATAGCCAGAAGTGTGAGCTTAGGACTGAGGTCTGGCTTTCATCTCTCTGTCTGGGGCAGGACAACCTTGCTGGGAGCTGGGATATTTGCTGGCCTGAACCACTGCTCTTCTCACCTGGGCTGGCCAGGTGCAAACTGGCTCAGACAGATGGATACGTGCCACACTTGCCATCCTCAACCTCGGTGCAGATCTGGGATGAGGTGGCCACGCAAGAAGGAGCCCTCTCTTACCCAGAGAGGTTGCTGATGAACCTGAGCTTGGTAATCAAAGGTGTGAATTGCATGGTGACCCAAACCATCCTGAGTGCAGCTCAGCCCTGTCTACACTTGCAGCTTAAGTGGTCCCTGTGAGATTTTTAACCATATCAGGATGTTTTTCATCTCCAGACACACACCCTCAAGAGCATACAGTCTGAGCTGTGAGGGCAGTGGAATGGTCCTGGGTGACAGGAAAAGCAGAACTTTTTCTGCCCCTAGAGATCCTTTCTGGGAAGTCTCATAATGCTTTAACATGAAAATAAACTCTGCACAGGTATCCTGTCCAAAACACGGGTAGCATCCCGGGTTTATGAAGAGGAAACTGAAGGAAATGAACACAGAGAATCTAAGCTGGCCAGGAGCAGTTAGAATCAGATACTCTGATCCTTCATCCTGAGGCTTAAGCCACTGCACAAAAACAAACTGTCCATCCTTTAAAGCTGCTTACGAAAACTCACCTGTCCTCAAAACATTCCATATAACATGAGCTGCCCAAAATGATCTCCTTGTTTTACCCAGCAAAGTTGACACATGTGAAAACATACAGCCAGAATTCCTAGACTTTCTAGGTCTCTAAGAATTCCTATGAGACCTGGAATTCCTAGGTCTCTATATCATTGCCTCATTCTTCACTTGGCATGTACCTGATTTTGAAAGATGCTGAGCACCCAACTCTAGCTGCAGACCACAGTATCTGCAAGTGCGTATCCAAAAATTGGGTACCAGAATTTGTGCTGGGTGCTTGAAAATGGAGCCACTTACTTTTATGGAAAACTTGGGGAGGGTGGAAAAAACCGTTGCTTAAATAATAAGGTCTCAGTGTAAGTCAGTGTTCAAGGCTGGTAGGAGACCATGAAAAATTTCAGCCTGTGAACAATCTCTCACATGATCAACCACTTAGCTGCTATAAAGTGCTATGGCTGCCCTGAAATTTTGGCCTATGTTAGGTGTGAATTTGGCTCATTTTACCTTTAGTGCCAGTGTCACCAACACCACTGTTATTCTGCTCCTGGTTGCCTTCTATCATTTCCAGAGAATTTTGTTCTTGTCACTCCTGCTCCTGGAGGTGGCATGACTTCAGTCCCAGCCTTACTACAATAGATCCCACTTCTTCCCTCCAAAAGAGGTTCCTGAGTCAGACTTCAGGGGGATGCAACCTTTGAACATCAATAGATGTTGATGGTACAGATCAGAGTTAGAAACAGTGCAACTCTACTTCATGGGATCAGCCAGGGTGTGCATAGAACATCCAGAAGATCGGATCATTTCCCTTCTGGATTCCTACAGGGCATGCTGGAGAGACACAGAGTGTTCATTCATAGAGAGACATATTTGCTCCTGTGAATGTATAGGTATATTTCTGTAAACTGTAAATTTGATTAAGTAACCTTCAGCACATCCAATGAAAGCTGAAAATCCATGGCCAAAATCTTCAGGTTAGTCTGGTTAACCTAATCTGGGAGAGGCAAACCTGTACAGGGAAGGGGAGATCACCCTTCCATTTCTGCATACCCACCTGGCCAATTTCAGCAGGGAGCTGCTTTTCACTTCATCCCACCCTTACCAGGAGTGGAGAGCTGTGGGCTGGTGTCAGATGCAGTTTTAGTAATCTAAGGGTCATACCAAGCTAGCTCAGTGTTCATGGTTCTGCCCATTAGCAGAGTCAACAGAAGATTTAGGAGCTGGAAGGAACTGGATTTTCCTGCACTGTGTGTCTTGGTGAGCACAACGCTGGCTTATTTAAAAGGTGAGAGGCTTTGGTTTGGGTTCAGCAAGCCCTTAGCTCCTGGTTTAAGTTTGTAATTTGGCAAAGAAAACTTTGGCTAAATTTCAACTTGAGGAATTTGATCACAAGAAACAGATCATTTAGTGTTTTTCAAAATAGTCTATTGTTTTGGCAGGGTCTGAACTGGAAAAGAGGATCCAATTCCAGCAGAGCATTGAGGTTGCTCTCAGTCCAGCCCTCACACTCTGGATCTTCATGACTTTGATCTTGTTTGTGCTGTCCACAAGTCCTGTGATGTGCAAGAGCAATACTCCACACACTCCAGGCTGACATGTCTTGCAGTGTTTCCTCTCACTGGAAAAGTGGAAGTGAAATGAAGGCATCGTGGAAATCAGAAAGGTCAGAGCAGGGGAAAAAAAACCATGACAAGAGAAGACAGGAAACAGAAAAGGTAATGGGTTTGGATAGAGACACCTGCCTCTTTGTAGGTAGTGTGAGGAGACAGGTAAAAGGGCACAGGAATGGAAGGAGTTGGGATGTTCTGCCAAAACCAGAGGTTTTCTGGATGAAAGCATTTCCTTGAGAGACTCTGGAAATTCCCAATTGGTGCTATACAGTAACATGGGGCAGATGATAATTTTTAAGAGGTGAAAGGGCCAGTGATCTACTGACATGTATCCTATGTCTGGGTTGAAGGAAGGAATTTTTTGATGGACCTCCAACTCCCAAAACTGCATGAGCACTATCTGAACAGTGCCTGTTATTTTGTGAAACTCTGTAACTCCTTGCTGCATTCTTCAGAATAAAAATTATTATGGTATAAAAAGATCTATTCAAATTCAAGTCTTAGCTTGTTTTTTTGGCTTCATCACATTAATGTATGTTTTGCCTTCAAATCAGGTGTGGCAGTTCCTGTACCCTCATATTCATTATGCTCCTGTCCACTGCTTTGCTCTTCACTATCATTTTCCGGGTTTAAGACTTTTATTTATATATGTTTTATATTTATTTCATTTTAACAAATATTTTTAGGTTTGACCCCATCTTCTTTGCACAGCCACATTTTCCTGGTTCAGTTATTTACTTGGAAGAAAAATTATCTCTTCTTTTAAAAATTAATTTTCTAGATTGATGCTACATTTTATCTACAAACATATGAAGAAAAGTTTTCTCCTTATCCTTCTTTTTGTGGCTGTTCATCCAGGTAGCTACAGAGGGGCTTTTGCTTCTTTGCTTTGCATGTTCCAGAGACACTGCACAGAAATTCTGTTCCAGATCTCTCTCAGAAATTCTGAGCATCTTTCACATACAGTTTCCTTACCACTGCAGTCCACACTAAAGAGTCTCAAATTCCTTGGGATTTAATTTCTTTTGAAACAAAGCATGCATATGCAGTGCAGGCTTATTCTTATTTATCTTCCCACTGAATTTATATGTAAGGAAATTATGATCACACACTCCAAGTTTATTTTTGATGGCCACCTGCTCTCTGACTTAATTGCTATTTACAACTAACGAATCTTTTGTAGGTTCAGTGATGGTTTGGTGAAGGAATTTGTCATGTCATGCTGAATAGGCCTGAGGCCCATTATGATGATGAGAGATGATTCACTGATCCATAACTCTGAAGTTATTTTCCCCATGGCAGCAGAGTTCTTACTGGGGTTTCTCTCTTTTAATATTTGCTCTCTCCCTACATATCCAGGTATGAACTCGAGCAGTTCATGGCTGACACTGAGCTGCACCAGAGAAAAGCCTCTTTTAGCTTTCTGAGCTCCATATAAACAACCTGTAACATCATACATGTGATATTAACGAACTGGTTTTATTTTCCTTTCTACCAGTCCTGAACAGCAGAATTTTTAACACCTGTGATGACTGTTATGCTACCATGCTTCTGTACTTGCCTGATATCTAGTTTATACCCTATATAGTTTCCTACCAATAACTAGAAGGTGGTTACAAAGATAATGGAGCCAAGGTCTTCTCAAGAGTAGCAGGTGATGTAACAAGAAGCAGAGGCAACAAGCTGAAACTTAGTAGGTTCAGGCTGACCTTCAGGAGCGACTTTTTTACTGGAAGGGTAAAAAAACGGCACTGGAAAAGGTCCCCAGAAAGTTGGCAGTACCTTTCTGAGTATCTTGGAAGGTTTCCAGATTTGGTTGGAAAAAATTATGGTGACCTGACTGAGTCAGAGGTTGGACCGGAGACCTCTGGAGGTCTCCTCCCAATATCACTCCTCTGATTCCACAGCATTGCCTGAGATTCCCTGCAGTGCACCAGCATCTGCTACTCGGGCCTCACCTGCTTCCCTTAGCTGAACTAGACGGTCTTTTGGATACTGCTATTGTCTGCTGCTGCTTCTCTCATCACAATGAGTGTATTCTTTCCCTTGATGTCTAGGCTTCTGCTCACTGATACCTCCTTATTTGTCATCACATAGTGATTTAACAGGTTTTTATCTCTCTGAGTAGGAAAACAGATACAAAGCACTCTCCCAGCAGCTGTAGCACCACTGAATGGCTCTCTTGAACTCGATGCCTTCATGGTAAAGCTGTGCTTTGTTGGAATATGTGGGTGCTCTCTGAGAGCATGGATAAGGCTGGACAATAACCTGTAGGGCCAGGGGAGCAGAGGTAAGTGCATCTCAGACTGGCAGGGACTCACAGGTGTGCTGGTAGATGTGTGATCTTACCCTGGTGAGGCAGTGGGAGCACCAGGCAGAGCAGCTGGCCACTTCTGACAGCTCATGGCTCCTAAGCATAGCTTCTGCAAGAAGAGTTAATATTCATTGGAGGCTTTCCCAAGCAGTACTGAACTGGTGAGTGAGGATGGAACTGGGATGCAAAGGGTAAGTCTGTATCCAGAGCCCCAAGCTGTGGCTGAGGGTTATCATGCTTTCCTGCAGGTGTGTTTCCATGATTTTAGCTGGCCACAGCAAGGGTGTGTTCTGTTACTGTGAAGAGAGGAAACAGAGCAGCAGAGAAGCAGCAGTCTTCTCTCCATGTGTTTGAAAGACAGAGAAAAGGCAGTAGTTAAACACCATCAGAGCTCATCTATTTCCTTTCTCGAAGTTTGACGTTTCTTCCTGCAAAGCCAGGGCTGAATTGGCAGCTGCTGGTGGCACTACACGCCCACTGGGCTAAAGGGGAGCTGGAGCTGGCTCATGCCACTGCAGAGCAACCATCTTCTTTCCAGACTGAAGAAGGTTTTGAAGGGGGAAAAAAAAAAATAAAAGGAAACCCGTTTCAGCCTCCAAGTCTTTCACAAAGATAAAGCAGTCTAAAAAGCAAATATGCAGACAGGTGACTGCTTTCAAACACACTGCAGGTTGGGAGGGGCTCCTCGACCCCAGCAGTTGTGCCTCATTTCCCTGCTGCATCCAGGCTCCCAAGCTTGGTGCGGGAAGAGTTAATAGGTTTAAATGTAGAGGTTTTTTCCCTGTAGCTTTGTCAGAGTGAAAGTGAAGCAGCTCTGGTAGCCAGTGTGGGGCTTCTCCTGCACCTCCACCCCTATAGTGACAGTCACCCAGTGAAAATAGGGTGAAAATATTCTCCTAAACGTGAATGCTCTTCCAGAGAGGAAAATGGTACAGGGTGAGAGGGATCCACTGGCAGTCAGTATCCATCCACGCAGAATCCCTGCTGTGTATGGTCTAGGATGGGGAGGAGGTGGACTCTGAGATCCCCACACACAGCTTTCAGCAGGCTGGTGAGGGCCTTGCCTTACATCCTGGCTCATGGTCACTCTGTGGCTCTCTAGCAGGGTCAGCATTGCCCTGCTGCTCGGAAAAACCCACTGCAGCAGTCAAGGAGAGAACGTTGCTGACTGCAGCTGGCCAGGTGGCCACATGTCCACGTGGATTTATCAAAGCTGCTAGGAAGTGGGGAGCCACCACTTGGCTGCAAGGACTGAGCCTAGGAGACAAGATATGTAGCATTCGTTTGTG